ATATGTCAGGTTCTGTCCCCCGCCCATCCCTTTCACCCCTGCGGTACTCACTCCAATTCGAGGTCGTAATGTCACAATGGGCTAGGGATTCCGGGTCCAATTTGGCCTCATTGTCTCCGGACTCGCGATGTCACGACTTGGTAGAGGCAGCAGCTCGTTGTTGCTACCTAATCTCTCATCTGGGAAGCACGACGAAGTAATGGAGCAAAAGCCCCTCAACGATATCCGCCACCACCTCCACCGCCTCAACTTAACTCAACTCAACCTTCCGTCGAACCAGTCTGGGGAGGCGAATGGATGGTTCAAGACAAGCCTACAATCAATAGGCCCACCAAAAACACCGGCTTGCTTGCCAGCTTGCAGCTTGCCTTGCTTACACGCCGCACGCCTGGCTCCCACAGCTCCGGACGGGCAGATGCCACCACGGACAAGCTGCATGGATGCCACACCCAATGTCATCTAGTCCATTCTGAGCATCCATCCATCCAACTGTCTCTGCGTGACATGATATGCACAACTCGCTACGCTCACCGATAGCCGCCAGGCAGGCAGAGAGAAAGACGAGCGCACTCACTGATCAACTGTTGCGAGGACAAGCAGGGCTACAGGTTGCAGGGCATGCTCACGACTTGGCTCGGTTCCATTGCTTGCTGACCAGGTTGCCAGCGTCATCTCCAAACTGCAGTCATAAGCTGTGCAACTGCTCAAAACCCTCGCAACATCTCGTGTAACAGAGACAAAGACTGTTGTCAGCGACTGTGTACAGAGAAACATTGCAACTACATGTAGAATGTTTTGGCCCGTCCCGTCTATCGCAAAAAAGGTGCTCTCACTCACTCACAGCCCTGTCTGAACTCTCGTCATTACGTGGCAATACTCTAGCTCGCGCAAAGGGGCCGCCAAGCAGCCAGCCCACCATGCAACCGGGGCCAGCGGCTGCCCATGCCAGGGTTTTTTGAACCGCCAACTTAGCAGTCTTTCTTTTTTTTTTTTTAAATAAAGATCGTGGTTTCAACTGTTTCGCAAAGGCGACGCGACTTGAACAACCTCATCATCGTCACCCAGGACACGGAGCTGTGATCTCTGGGATGTACAGCTTAACACCCCCCAATTTGCTGCCTCGAGAGCGCCCACGAATGCACGCCTTGCTTCCACCCACACATGCACAGTAGCCCACAACAAACCTCCGAACTTGGCGGGTATCCGCACCTTTTGACTTCGACAGGGTCCCGTGCTCTTCCTTTCTCCCTCTTCTGTTTTTATCATATCAATGCACAGACTTGATGACGATTTCAGTCCTTGAGCCCCTCGCTCGCCCAGGACAAGAGCATAACCACCACCTATATTCGTGATATCCTCCATCCTAGAAGGTCTCATCGAGTATAAACACGCCATCATTTCAATAGCTCGTCGTCACGTGATTTTCCTGTTGCAAGCCTCCCGTGACATTCCCGAGGTTCTTGCTTGACCTTGTGCATCTCCCGTCGGTACTTGGACCCTCCACCAACGCAACATGGCCTGAGCCGTTGCTATACGTACTTGTACCACAAATCTCCGGTTGCGTCTCGAGCAAGCAGCTCCCAATTTTGGATGCTGTCATTTTTGTTGGTATGTTGAAGATTGAGAATGACATTCGACTCGAATGCCCTCGCCTCGGCAACGAAATACGGAGTAGACCATGGCAAGATGGAAGATGTGGCTGTCTCTGCTTTGCCCTGCACGACATTCCAGAGTCGGGAGGCCCCACCGACTCCATTTGATGGCTGTTCGAGAGGCACAGGGGAACAGCATCGACAATCTAAACGTTGTTGACCAATCAGATATGAATCAAGAATTAGTCGCGTTGAATGGCACCCGTCATCTTGTTCTTTGCCGAGGCCCCCGAACCTTGACCGAATTTAGCATCTCCATCTCCCCAATATTGATGATACGGAGTACGGAGTACAGAGCGCGACATCAGTAATATTGAGTTCGATGGCCATGCATCTAAACATCGAGAGATATTCCCGGAGGCAAGGTTTATTGAGTTCAGCGTGGCCTTGAATATGCAACGCTAGCAGGTGAAACAAATGAGGTTTTCAGCAAAATCTCAATCTCAAACTCTAACCGTGGCTTTATCGCTAAAAGGTGTGGGCACTTAATAGTTAGTGGATCAAGGACGTCAATCCTAATGGTCTTCCTTGCTGACAAAAGTCTCAAATCAGAGTCCCTCCGCTGAATGGATGTCTAGATATTTGTTAGCGTGTCCTGACAGAGTCCTCGAAGGTGTTACGATAAACTCAGCAAAGGGTACCTATCCTAAATTAACTAAGTTACCTACGTCTTTTTGTCACTTAGGATCAAGGTCCTGAGTTCTTTTTCCTCCCCTGGAGAGTGAGCCGATAACTTGCTGTGGAGGATGAAATCCAGTATAGGGCTTGCATAAATCAGTGGATTTTCAAGTGATGAAACTGTTTCATATACAGTAGATTTGGACCAGCAATGTCTTGAACAGCCGCATCACGAAAGTCTCCACAGTCAGATCTTGAAAGCTTGAGGCTTGTAGCACCAGCGTTCGTGAAGATCTCAAAGCGCGTCGAATTTTGATTGAGTTTCTCTGGTAAAGTCAACATATATATAGACATTGATACTTGAACTGCTAGTCCACAAGATGGTCAAAGTATCGCTTTAGACTCTCGGGTCCAACGTATGTAAATGAGGAGAAAGAGGCCTCATCAAAATTAACTGATCAGGCGCTCATGTGCATGGCTTCACATTGCATGGGGGTTGTAAGTTGTGGCTGCCTTAGGCTCCTAGCCGAGCTGTGCGCCACAAGAGGCGGTGGTCCCCTAAAGTGGTGAGGCTGGCAACCACAGGGATAGGTAAGTTTACAGAGGACAGTTCAGTTCTCGTGGCATCAAAGGGGAATCAAGAGAATAAAAGACCTTGTAAAGGCCAGCGCCAACAACGAAAATTCCCGATTACGACAATAGCTACAGCGCAAAAAGAATCACTATCAAGCATCGGATTGTTTGACGAATCACGAGTTACTATTGCCGATATATCGCACCAACGGCCCAGCATATCCAACCTGTGATAGCCTCAACGAGTTTGGAATAAGAGCCGATCCGAACCTGAAACCTACATAACCAAGTCACGATGCCGCCTCGAATAAATATTCCGCCGGTTACGCGTATCCTTCTCATTGCTCTACTAGGCCAGTCAATCCTCAGCGCTGCCATAAGATATCGGCAATGGACCGCCAACGCAAACATTGTCATTCCCTACTTGACTCTGGTGCCGCAGTTGTCTATCATCTATCCCTGGACGTTCATAACATCAACTTTTGTCGAGAGTAATGTGTTTACGCTCGGAATTGCTGCTGTAACGATATACCACGGAGGACGATATCTCGAAAGAGCATGGTCATCGGCTGAGCTGGCCAAGTTTGTCGCTATTGTATCGCTGGTTCCAAACTTCCTGACACTCTGCGTTATGGTGCTTTGCTTCACGCTTACACGTAATGAGAACTGGACGTATGTATTATGTTGCGCTCGTAATGCTAGATAAAGAGAAACTGACATAATTGTGTAGCCTGACTGTCATTGCTGGAACCATTCCCGTTCAGATTGCTTTCCTTGTCGCTTTCAGCCAACTCGTCCCAGCGCATACCGTAACCCTCTTCCGCGGTGTCATATCTCTCCGAGTTCCTCGATTTCCTCTCATCTACATCGGCGCTGTTTTCTTTCTCTCTCTTACGCCTCTCCTGACTAGAGCTGCTCTGTGGCTTGCCATCTTTGGATTCCTTACCAGCTGGACCTATCTCCGATTCTACAAGACTGTGTTCCCCGACCTCGACTCGGCACAAGACGCCTCCCTCCGTGGTGATGCGAGCGAGACATTTGCATTCGCCGAGTTCTTCCCTGGCCCGGTAAAGCCATTCGTCGCTGCCATCGCCGATCAGATCTTCCTGGTGATGGTTGCCATGAGGTTGTGTACGCCTTTCACACCGGCAGACGCCTCCCGAAACGACAGCCGGATCCAACGGAGCGCCCCTGGAGGCGCTCGCGCAGAGGCCGAGAGGAGAAGAGCCATCGCCCTCAGGGCGCTAGATCAGAGACTACATGCCGCTACAAGCAATCTGCCAGCGCAGAAGCCAGGCCAGGCAAACCGACCGACAGGTCCAACAGTGCAAAGCCAACCTCAGCCGGCTACACAGACTGCCATGACATCATCCCCCGGCCCCATGCTTGGCGAGACCAAGTTCGAACCTGATCATGACGACGCGAAGAGCTGAATTCTGCCTTAATTTCAAGGGTAACATAAAGCCACTGTGATATGGAAGGATTGTAATGTGCCTTGTGCGGTTTAATTCGAGCCCGCCATGTTGAGACAAAGACTGACCGTAGACGCAGAGTCGCCAGCAACGGTCTTGATAGATGAAGAGATTGACGATTGGCATTGCTAGTGGAGCTCTGGTGTTATGATGGGTTTCCGGGCTTTCCTTTGCAGTTTGGTCTGTTCAGGATCCTAATTAGGATGTCATGGGATGGACTAGTTCGCACCAGGAATGTTTGGTTCAAGTTACTTATAAGCATGAATAACAAGATAAGAGTATCATGATCATCTATCATCATGCGGAAATCGAGGACTCGAGTCAAATTCTCCTATTCCGATGCTTGCGCTGTAAAAGAATTCACATTTGAATCACCCTTGCCCGTTGGCAGGCTTGGTTACTTGCTTCTAAAGTCCCTATAGTAAGTTAGCCATTATGTAGGGTAGGATGTAGATCGGGGTGCCCAGAAGCGCCGACCAATTAGGTTGATGCAATTTGCATGCTGTCCTCCTTGGAGATTGTTGACCAACATATCTTGTCCTCTTGCTATATTCATCGACTAGGACCTAATAAGTACACGAATGTAGCTAAGTTTCAGCTAATTGACTTATATATTCCTGGTTTATCTCATCAGAAACCGTGCGAGCCCTTGTTCGGATTCCAGCCGAAGGCAAGTTAACTCATGATGGGCTGGCCATATGAGTTCCTCACTCTAACAGATGAGGAAAAGCACCAGCGTCGCCTGAGCCTCGACTACTACGCACATATAGCACATCTCTCTGCTTTCGTACCGGCGCTATTATTTCTCGTCATTCGACTCATCAATCGTGTGCGCAAGGGCCGTAACAGCGGGTATCATCAAGTTCCAGGTTCACCAGGCGTCAAAGCGAATCGACAACGATGGATCTCTAGATTTATAGAGAAAGGACCCATTGTGCAGTGGTGGCTAGGCGAGGACATAGTATTCATGGGCAGTCATTGGGGACAACGTGATGAATGGGTTTTGGGTACTGCTTGGACAACATGGCTGTTAGTCCTGAGCGTTCATGGCACAGGCAAGGGTATGTAAAGTCCGTCTCTGATTCGTATGGGTTTGTTGCTGACAATACAGACTATCTCCATCTCACAAAGCGAGTGGGCATCGTTGCAACATCTCAGATGCCTATCCAGTATCTCCTGGCTCTCAAAGCGCTCAACCCTTACGCATACCTGCTTCACTCATCTCACGAGCATCTCAATCGATATCATCGTGTGCTTGGTCGCATTATCTACTCCCTGCTCATACTCCATGCTATCTTATACAACATCTTCTTCATAGAATCTGGCATATGGTTCAAACGTTTCTTCGCCCCGGTTGTATTTGCAGGTGTTGCTGGCTTCACCGTTCTCCATGTCCTTAACGGTACAGCCATGGCTCGCGTTCGTCAGGCTTCATACCGACTCTTCTTCATCGCTCACCTCTTTGGAGCCTTTGCTATCCCCCCATTAATCTACTATCATGCACCGCCCTCACGGTTCTATATTGCCGAGGCCGTTGGTGTCTTCGTTCTTGACCTTGCTGCACGAAAGATCACCACCATCACAGCTCCCGCTACCATCGAAGCTATTCCTGGCACAAGTCTCGTCAAAGTCTCTGCCAAGCTTCCAGCTCCAAAGATTGCCAAGTACGCCAGCCGCCCCGGATCTCACATCTATCTCAACGTCCCTGCGGCTTCGCGACCAGGAATTGGGCAATTCTCAGCTCCTTATCTCGTCTTCGAGTTTCTTTACAATCCCTTCACGGTGGCATTTACCAACCAGGAGACGTGTGAGTTGACATTCGTCGCACGCACAAGAAATGGCCCCATGACGAACCGTCTGCACCATCTATCCTCAACTACCAACGCTGGAGGGTTGACTGAGAAGGTCGAACTTAATATTGAGGGTCCTTATGGTACTATTGGAAAGACGTTCAATGACCTCATCAATTCAGGTATGAACCGTATACTCATTGTGGCTGGTGGTGTGGGAGCAACATTTGCTGTACCACTCTATCACGCTGTTCTAGCTGAGAACTCAACCACGAATGTCCAGCTCGTTTGGGCCATTCGAAGTGCAGGCGACGCCACCTGGGCCGCCTCAACTCCCACTGGCAAGTCTCTTCTCGACGACGATCAAGTGCAGCTCTTCCTCACAGGAGACATGGGTGTTGCCAATGACAGCGACAACGCAGCTGGTGTTGAAATGAACAACTTATCTCAACAGAGCACTCGTCCTGTCGTTCGAAACAGCAAAAGGCCTGATCTACAAAAGATCGTTAACGATACGTTCCAAAAGGGTCAGCAGGATAGTGTGGCTATTCTGGTCTGCGGTCCTGCCGAGATGAGCCGGGAGCTACGCAAGAGTGTGACGCCGTGGGTGATGAAGGGACGCAAAGTCTGGTGGCACAATGAAAGTTTTGGATGGTAGAAGGGAAGACGATGTATGACGGTCACCATGGCTGTTTCTTTTCAGCCTGAAGTATGTTGGTTGAAAGTGTCGAGTTAGCAAATAAATCACACAAAACAGTAGCGTCGGTTGTAAGCCTTCCGAATCTCCACAGCTTCCACAAACTAACTTAGATTGCCATGTTGAGCTAGAAGTAGCTGCTTTGCGACCCCTGGACTGTCTTGAAGGTGGTTGGTACGAAAGCGTTGTGGCGTGTAGAAAACTGTATAGACGGTTATGCCTTGCAGAGAACCTTCTACCACCGGGGCCTGGTTCAAGAGGTCAGTCATGGAAACTCGAAAAGGATACGAAGCTGCTCCAATAGTGAGCGCACTATGGATATCTAACGACCACGTTGGATATCTTAGGTTCAAAACACCAGCCATACCTCATCCTAAAGCAATTCGGTATAGAATGCACACCAATACAACACCGCCGTCGTTAAAGGCCATACTATCATATTCTATGCTCGCGCGAGGTGTAGTCTCCTCCTTGCTAAACCATCATAATAGCCATCAAGAATTTTGTCCATCAACGCCTCACCCATCTTCCGACCTTACTAATAGCGCACCACACTCCGTTATCTAACCCTAAGTAGGGATGCCGTTAAGACGGCGTGAAATCTAGAATATGAATAAACAAGAACAAGAGAATATCAGAAATCCCAGCGTCTAAAAGAAACCGTAACCTTTGGTGGTATCATAAGAGGGTGCCATCAGCCACACACAACATCTCATCTTCATCGAGAGCTCACAGATTGTCGTTCAGTCTCACTGCCGGTATCTAGCCAGCTGCGCCATGATATTCTGAACTTGAACCGCTGCATCTCCGTTCGACGGTGGCTGTGGCCCATGCCCGTACGAAGCTCCATATGGGCCTGAAGGGTGCTGCTGTTGTTGATGTTGCGGCACCGCACCATTCCCACCCAGACTTCCAAGTAGTCCTTGGATGTCAGGTTGAGGTGCTCCAGCTGCTGCTACACTTGAGCCACCTTGAGCAGGCGCTGGGTTTTGGACGCCCCCTTGAACCTGTGCGAGCAATTGCTGAAGTGACGCAGAGTCGAGCTGACCCATCATGGTCGCGATGTCAGCGACGTTGACTGGAGAAGGCTGCTGTTGACCGTAATGTGCGGGAGGCGGAGGGGGAGGGCCAGGGTAATTGGCCGCAGGCGCTTGATACGGGGGCTGGCCTCCATAAGGAGCACTGCCATAGCCATTTCCTCGGTATGTTTGACCATAGTTAGGAGGGCCTCCTGATGCCTTGGCTTGAAGAATAACCTTGGCTGCAGTAGCGGGGTCCAGGTTTTCGTACTGATCATATCGAACATTGTTGGAGCCAGCGGAGCGATCAAAGGCCTGTACCGGAATCTTGCCCGAGCTTTGTGCTCGGATATCGAGATCAACAACGGCATGGACACCTTCAGCCGCTTGCCGCTGAACTACCATGTCCTTGGGAATCCTAGGATGCAGGAACATAACCTCAGACCTGAGACCTTGGGACTTGAAAGCTTGCTCCACCCAGTTGACAAAGTCGCGATTTACATCTGGCTGAAGGATGACCTGTACGTCAGGAACGTCTGCACCATACCTCCGTGGGAGATCAAGCTCGGCCTCATGTCGGGGTCGCCCATAAGGGCTCGGGCTTCTTCGTCGATAATTGTTGTCCTTGCCGTTGCGACTGTATCCTGGGGACCGAGATCGTGCACGCCCCCTGCTGTTGTCATAGAAGCCTCGATCTCGACCATACGACTCATCTCTTCCGTAATCGTTGCGATGAGGAGAATGACCACGACCAGATCGATAATCATCCCGGGTCTGGTGGCCTTGCCGTTCATTTCGACGGCCACTGTCGCGGGTTTTGTTTCTGTCTGGGCTTCGAGCCTTGTCCTTTTTTGATTTGTCCTGGGCCCGCGATACTTCTAGATCTGGATAGTGTTAGAAGCACAACATGTAAATACAGCAAGCACTACTTACGAATTCTACGACCCTTGATCTCGATGCCCTGCAGATTATCCATTGCTCTCTGTCCTTCCTCAATAGAATGGTACTGGACGAAGCCGTACGCAGATTTGAGTGAGATTTGAGCAATCCTCCCGAACCGATGAAATAGATCGAAGACATCCTGTTTTGACACCTTGTCGCTCGAGAGATTACCTGTAGCGAATATGTGAGCGCCATTTTTGGACGCGCCGGACGCGGATCGTGTACCAATAAAAATGCGTGAACCCTCTGGGAAACGGTCCCATTTGGCCTCAGCTATATACTGGTTCTCGTCGGCTAAGAATTGATTCCATTGGCGCTCATATTCGGAATCTTGGGCTTGATCAGTATTATAGAGAGCAGGTTTGGGTGGGTATGGAGGGGCGTTCATAGAAGTGATGGCACTAGGCGCCTGGAGACCGGAGCCAAGCGGGACCGGAAATTCACCCAGAGCATCAGGGACTGTAGCAGGTGCGCCAGTTGCCACATAAGTGGATGGCTGCCCAGGCGTGGGGGGCGCAGCTAGGTTCGAGGGAATACTGGCATTGATGCTAGGTGGGTGGTGCTGCGAGGCATACGTCTGAGGAACTGCCTGTGATAGCGGAGGCCTCGGTGGAAGAGAAGCTGACGACGAGAAGGCTGAAGACAGAATAGCAGACTCGGGAGAATGTTCACCTAAGACGGACGGAGCATTATGTGTGTTGGAGTTGGAAGGCGCTGTGAGATCAGCAACCAGGCGTTGAATATCAGCTGAGGGACTGGCAGAGCTGGTAGCGTTACTGGCGCCCGGCTTGGCCGTGCTTGGAGACGACGTTTGCTGGTTGGATGGCTGCGACGTAAAGGTATTCGCGACGCCAGCAGCTTGAGCTTCGGAGGAAGCATTGGAAGTAGTTGATATCGCAGACTGGCCTGGCTGGGCCGACAAGGATGATTCATGAACGACATGGGAGACTTGAGATGTGCGATTTGTCAAATGATCGGATGAAAGAGAAATTTCGTTGGATTCTCGTGGTAGCGATGATACATCTTGTGGTTCGACGACTCCGTCTTCACCCTCCTCCGCCCCAATTGGTGAATCAAAAGTCTTTGCGTAATCGTCATTGCTGTCGGGTAGTTCTTGTTCAACCTGAGGCTGCGGCACTTGCTGGGCGGCCACGTCTGTGTCGTCTTCACCATAAGGGTCGTTGAGGCTGTCGTCATCTACGATATCGTCATCACCACCAGCCCCTGATATAGGCTCAAGATTAGGGGCCTTGTTGATAGAGCCATTGGCAGCGGCAGCGGCAGCGGCAGCAACCATGGCGTCGATGGTCTCGACGGTCTCTTGAAGCACAGGGACCGCCAACGAGGTGGCTGAATGAACAGGTGATGGGGAGACCGGGGAGAGGCTGGCAGTCGCCTGAAGCTCTGCCTCGGGTTCTGTCATTTAATTAAGGCTGGGATTGGAGATTGGTGTGCAGTATATGGGACGACCTTCTGGAGCAGCGCTGGTCGTACAAGCAATGCGAACCAAGAGATGGTGCAACTGATGATCAAACAAACGAGCTCGGCTCCTTGGTCAGTGAGAAGTGCCGCCAGGCGATGGCCTGGCGCAAGACGGAAGCTGGAAGCGTGATGGAATAGACGGAGTGGCGGTCAAAGCGCCGCCAGATGAAATACGAAAAGGTCGACTTGTAGACCAAATGGACGCGGGATGATAAGAAGCCACGAAAGAATCGGCACTCTCACCAGTTCGTCACCAGAAAGATAGAAGACCTTTGACAGGGGAGGCAGTCGGGTAGAGGGTTTTGCGAAGTCGGAGCTTGGCTAATCGCGCCAAATGAGTCGAGTTCTCCAGAAGACTGGGGCTCAGCAGACACAGGCACGTGAGAGTATAGGAAGATGGGCTAGAGAGAGGATCTAGAGTCGCGACACCAAGAGCATTGAAGATGGCGGCACGAGTGAAGTCGACGATGTGTCGCAGGCTGAGGGAAATGAGCAGATGAAGGTTGAAAAGGTGAGGTAGGTTGATTAGGTTAAGTAAGGTAAGGTAGGTAATTAAGGCCAGGCCTGGCAGGGCAAGTCAGAGACCCAGACAGGTGAAAGGCTGGGTTTCGGGGTCCCAATTGAGGCTGATCGGGCGCAGGCGGGAACCACAGCTAACGACAGGCTACTCCAGAATTGGCAAGGCGGTCAACAAATCATTTGTGTTTGGGCTCACAACCAAGATCTCAGCCACAGACAAGCATCAGGCGAAAGCCAAGAGCTTGAGAGACCCAAACTTCAGATGTTATGAGACATTGATCTTGGAGGATTAGCAAACCAAAATATTCTTTTAGCTCACTCAACCTGTCAGATTAAATATTTAACTTGGATCGTTCGACAGTTATATTTCACGATGCTTCAGCGACACTTTGCTCTGGCGCCGCGTCCAAGAACCGTTCCAGCATGTCTGGCAAACCGTCCATTTGCGCCTCGGTTCAAGAGATACCAGGCCTTCGACACCGGGCTCGATCAAGAGGCTCTTTCTGAAGCTCGCTCGTGGTTTCAATCTTTCAGCTCAACACAGCTGCCGAGAGGAAATACCACATACGCTCGCTCGAGTGGACCAGGAGGTCAACATGTCAATAAGTATACACGTAATTACATCCAAGCAAGTCTTTAGCACTCACAGGTGAAAGGACCGAAACAAAAGCAATCACAGCGTATCCATTGGGACAATTGCTGTCAGTGCTCCCCAAGTCATTACATCCTGGCATTCGCAAGTCCAGGTACTACACAGCAACCAATGACTCTTTGACCTTCCAAGCCCAGGATTCACGATCACGGGATGCGAATGCGGAAGACAACAGAAGAAAGCTCATTGAGGAGGTAACAAGCATCTACAAAGATGTGATACCTGCTGAAACAAGCGCGGAAAAGAAAAAGAAATATGAGGAGATGTCAGTCGCTTTATTTGTTGTAAAACAATTGCTAACATCGATTAGTGGCAGAAGATTCCACGAAACAAGGATAAAACAGAAGAAATTTACCGGCGCAAAGAAACAATCACGGAGAGGGCCTTCTGATTGAGCAAACATCAGTCAAACAAAGCGAGACAAAACCAGCAGTATCAAATTGATGGCGATATAAAGATGCCTCTACCTTGCGAAGAGGTACTAATGTAGATGGAGTACGAATCGCGATATAATTCCGAGCCCTTCTTCAAAAGAAACATCCTGTTCTTTATCGATACTACCGAGCAATACCGAAGTTCAGATGGCGAAAGCCAAAATTGTACGCACAAATTAAAAGAAACGAAGCTGTCACTATTTGATTTGGCTTGAAAGCAAACAATAGCGGCAGATGGTCCAAGGTTCCTCAGCAGGTGACTACTGCGCCTCCGTATCAGTAGACTCAGTCGATGGATAGGACTGAAATGGGATCCCACAAGAACAGGCATGGTTTCTCTCAGGGAATAGAAACCACAATTATGATGCGTTTAAAGGCGAAATATCGTCATTGTCACTCCGCACCACTGATAGGTAAGGGTCATGAACTGCAATACCTCCTTTTATGCATGGTAGCTAGCCCCGTGAACATGAGGCAGCTCACTACCTACTGAGAAGAGGGATACGGATACACATCTGAAGGCCTGGCATTCATAATTGTAATCACTGCCGGGCACCAATTCTTCTCGTACTCTATCAATTAAGCGTCCAGAACTAAAACGCCTTGAGCATTATTGTCCATTGTCATTCTCTCATCCATCTTTCAGCTAGACTTTGTCTGACACAACCCCACCCACCTCTTTAGCCCCGACCCTTCTGACCAACCCAACCGAACCCCTTCACTTCAGCTCATCAGCATTGCCATCTCGACTGCTGATATCTACTCTCTCCAACTCAGTTGTTCTCGATTCCTGTGTTTCTCCCCTCAACAGAAGACGCCCGTTTCTCCGAACCAGACAACCTTATTATATCTCGCACTGCACCCTGACGCCGCGCGACAGGTCACCCCCTCCGCTCTGCGGGGCATCGCGATCTTCTTATCACCTCTCCGTCTCGACTCGTCTCAACTTCGACGCCATATTCTCACAATGGACTCCGCAGCCCGCCAACAACCCCAAGTCCAGCCCTGTAGATACAAGGTTGGCAAGACACTGGGAGCTGGCTCATACTCCGTCGTCAAAGAATGTGTCCACATAGACACTGGCCGTTACTATGCGGCCAAGGTCATCAATAAGCGGCTCATGGCTGGTCGCGAACACATGGTGAGGATTGCTCTATTGGATCCTGAAACTCCTGTTCCGTTGTCCTTTTTTAACACGCCATGCGCAATGCTAGGTTCGCAACGAAATCGCCGTGCTCAAGAAGGTCTCTATGGGCCACCAAAATATCCTTACTCTTGTCGACTATTTCGAGACCATGAACAACCTCTACCTCGTCACCGATCTTGCACTCGGTGGTGAGCTTTTCGATCGAATCTGCCGAAAGGGCTCCTATTTTGAGTCAGATGCTGCCGATCTGGTTCGCGCCACATTGTCAGCTGTCGCTTACCTCCATGACCATGGTATCGTTCATCGTGACTTAAAGCCTGAAAATCTACTCTTCCGAACCCCCGAGGACAACGCAGACTTGCTTATTGCAGATTTTGGACTTTCACGGATCATGGATGAGGAACAGTTCCACGTTCTGACTACAACCTGTGGTACCCCCGGATATATGGCTCCCGAGATTTTCAAGAAGACAGGCCATGGCAAACCTGTAGATCTCTGGGCTCTCGGTGTCATCACCTACTTCTTGCTTTGTGGTTATACCCCTTTCGATCGCGACTCTGACTTCGAGGAGATGCAGGCCATTCTCAACGCAGATTACAGTTTCACACCTATTGAATACTGGCGTGGCGTTTCCAGTCACGCCAAGGACTTCATCCAGCGCTGCCTGACTATCGATTCTACTAAGCGTATCACTGCCCATGAGGCTCTCCAGCATCCATTTATCGCCGGCTTCATCAACGCCGAGGGAGAGAGCCAGAACCTTCTGCCTAATATCAAGAAGAACTTCAACGCTCGCCGGACTCTACATGCAGCCATTGATACTGTTCGTGCTATCAATAAGCTGCGTGAGGCTCAAAGTGGGATGATGGATGGAGCTCGTTCAAAGGAACCCAGTCGTGGCGCTGCGCGACAGCAGCCGCCTACCAACAAAAAGGGAGATAGTGCCATCTCAATGGGCAGCAACCAACCAAAGGATAGTGGATATGGAACTCAGACAGAGACGGACGTCGTTATGGGCAACACATCAGCATCCAATGTCCCCTCCTCATTGCAGCCTGGAAACAACGGAAATAGGGTCATCGAGACATCCAAGGGACTTTGGAGTGCGCCTGCGCCAAAGAGGTAGAGCCAGAATGGGATCGATGTGTCTGAGTTATTTAGAAATCTTTGGGGGAGATATATCAAAGGGGAACTACCTATGGTGAGAGGAAAACATGCTAGAAGAATGATGGTTTAACGTTATGAGGAGGGAATTTTGTAACCCGGCATTTGCGTTATAAAGCGGGCGATTAGGACATACGCATGTGCAATGAGGAGGAGAGCGAGGACCAACAGCGATTTGGGTACATGTATTTTCAACAACGGACTGCAGGCACGGCGTTTGCAACGATTGGAAGGAAGAATTAGTATTTCTATTTTCTATACATTTTCCATTTCCATTTCAGGTTTGGTCTTGGTATTTGCAACGCCTTTTGTGAAACCTCCTTTTCGAGATTCTTGCTGTAGAGATCCGTGACTTCGAGGCCCAGGCCAGACATATTATCACTGCTTGTGTTATTTTCGGGAAGATGGGTTTCTGGCAGATGGGTTCACGGCCTGTAGCCCCTTTTGGACTCCTCGATATCTAGTATAATGTATGTGCCTTAAGTGGCATGCCTGTTGGCAGCAGTAGATATTAGGCAGAGTCGGGTCTTCTAATATCTTGTGGCCCTATTGTGTGTTACATGCTAGAGTGCCTTATTCCTGACAAATGTGGAGGGCGCCTTACTTCGTAAATCAAATACTGTTTTCAAAAGACATGAATGGATTAACTCGGAGTTGGGAATTCTCTTGCTTGAAAGTTGAGCAGTGATCAAGAGTTTCAGATCATATGTTTGTATAACTTAAACTTCTGATATTTGCGTACAACCTAGAATAACAGATCGACAAACTGATACTTCTTAAGTCATGATGACAAAGAGAATTTCAGGACACAGCACTTGCGAATGCCAAGAGGTCTAGAGTGCCGTGCAGACTTGGCGTTCCTAAAGCCGCTGAACAGAAGACGGAGGGATTATTTGGGGCCAGATGAAGATCGACATGTTGAGATTTACATATCATGAACGGGCCCACCTGATCGCGTGCCAGCTGCAACGACATTTGAACGAGGGACGTCAAGCTGGATGTTGGTACGGGGTACTCATTGGGTATCATCAAAGATTTACAAGCTACTTTCACTCTGAGAACAGGATGTGACAGAAACAATGTGCTGTCAATTCTTCTAGCTGCTAATATCTAGCGAATGGTATCTTTGGTATTCCTTTTCCTTTTGACCAAAGTCAGCCTGCCTCCTTGCGCCGCCTGGCTTTTGCTCTCCAGGATCATCCAGGATTCGGCTGTGAGCCAGCTGTCCTTGCTACCTCCTCCTCCTCCTCATGATAAGGGATTGCTTGTCATGAAGCATGTCCCTCTCGAGTCGTCGTCCAGGCTCTCTAGCGAGCGTATCGGTGCATGACATGGCGTCGTCTCATGTCCATACACGAATTAAACTTCCTCTGGTTGTATACATTACTCTATTCAGTTCCGGTTTTGTCCTTCCGCAGGGTATACATTAAGACGGGACGCATCAGCCCCTTGAACCCATTATTACAGCTTGCCGTCTGGCCCTGACGGCCCTGCGTCAGAATCCAGTATCTGCCATAGTAAAGCACCCTGTTGCGCCATTTCGCTGTGCCGAAGAATGCCAAAGATGTTATCAAAAAAAATATAAGGTCGAAGATTAAAAAGGGTTCGGGGCATTAAAATCGTAAAATCCCAACAAGTCGCTTCGTTTCCCTGGTGGGATGAGAGTGTCCGAGGGTAGCCGTATTATTACTCGGTCGTGCCAATTATCGCACCACCACAACTTCACTCAGCTCCACATCTCGAGCAGGAGCGTTGCCGTCCCAGAGCTGTCCGTTGTTGTCCATATCCATGAGCATCCCGGGAAGGGCTTCTTCGGAGAGAGTAGGACTTAGGGTTCCGCTGCTAGAACTGCAGCTGGAGCTGGCAACAGTCCAGCCATCACTGGAATCGGCGCGGGGGCGTCCGAGCAGACCCATACCGAAATACTCGCCGTACTCCTCGTCAGAAATGGCGTTGCGGTCGCCATACTCCACGTACTCGTACTCCCATCGTGTGATCTTTCCCTCCTGTCGTCGGGGTAACCATCGGGCCTTTGCTGCGTAGAAAAAGCAAGAGGCAATCAAGCCACCGACCACCAAGTCAATGGCATAATGGTGGCTGAGGTACATGGTGGCCCAGCAGACCCATCCAGCGTACATGATGAAGTAAGTTCGGAATTGGGGGAAACAGTGAGACATGAAAAGAGCCTCGAGAACAGCGTTCGCGGCGTGAAGCGAGGGGAAAGCGCCGAAAGGAACAGGTGCAGTGCTGAAGTTGGTCGTGTAAAGGTCGATGCCGAAAATGGCGTCGATGCGGGCGAGTCCAGCAGGAGATCCAGGCATGCCGTAGGCAGCAGGTTCAAGACCATGCTCCATCTCGTACCAAGGTGGCGCACAGGGGAAGAGAAGCTGGATGGTGACACCCAGAATGCTCATCCAGCCAAAGGTGCGAGCCCAGACAGGGGCGGTACCGGGGGCAGCAAAGACGAACATGAGCAGGGCGCAGACTACAGGAGCACCAAAATGACACAGGCCGTAGGGGATCCAGGCAAGAATGTCGAGAACCGAGTGTTGATGAGCGGAGAGAATGCTAGACAGATTGGCACCGTACAAGACGTTCTCGAGGGCGGGTAGCACGCGGACCCAAATATGGGGTCGGTACTCGTTGGGGATGAATCTTTAAACAAAAATTGTCAGCAGGCGATAGATTATTTGACCTTGGAAATCAACACATACCGGCTACAAAAGAAATACAATAGCCAGGTCCAGATTGTCACTGATGGCAAAAAGAATTGACGTGTCGCAGGCATAAGCAGAACCCAAACACTACCAATGATAGCTAGGAGCTTGACACCAGGAGCCGGAGGGGCAATCCAGAAGGAGAAGAGAACCAGGAGGCCAACAACAGCATATTGGAGATCCGACGTCCTCCAATGATGCTTCTGGAGATCACGAACACCATCCCAGGCGTTGAAAGATGTTTTGAGACTGGTGATCTCCTCATTGCCAGGTCTCGATTTCGATTTGGTGCGTCGACGGCCAATTCGATATCTGTGAGGAACAGTGTTGAGGAATGGCAGATTAACGTGCTCGGGCCAAAGTAGCTGGAGCTTGGGCTTCCCCGAAAGGGTGGCGGAGAAGTCGTTCATGGTGAAGGTCGATAAGAAACTTGTTTAGATCGACACAACTGTGGTTCGAAAGGGGGCGTGTGATGATAATTTGTAGCGTAGCGCAAGACAATTCTCGAAGAAATTCGTAACGCGTAGTCGGTAACCCAATATGAATACCCAAAAGCTACCTCATATCCAAGTTGACCTATTTACTTGACTTGCACGCATACAACGATGGTCGGAATCGTCGGGATGGCCGTCTAGAGCGATGGTTGTCGAGTCGCAGAGAAGGGAGGCAGTACGCGACAAGGACGCCACAAAGAAGATGTGAGGCTAGGACCTGAAGTCGTGACGGAGGAAGATAGATGCTTTAACAAGGTGCGAATCTAAGACGAAACCAAGCCGAGGATCGAGGAGAGAGAAAGGGAGGGATGAACAAGATGGAGGTGAGGAAATGGGAGTAGTAATATGAAGAAAGTGGAGGGAGTGGAGGAGAGAGTGATCGAGGATGATGACGAGGTGCAGGAAAGTGATGCACCAGGGGGCGTGTACCAGTGCAGCTGGCCACTAGAAGCGCTGAAAAACCAAGGTCTTTACAGCTGATTTTGCAACCGTAGTCCGCTAAGGAGCACAAATTCAACAGGGCACCTCGCGCAGGATTCCAGTGGGCGCTAAGCTACTGCCCCCATCACACTCCACTGACATTAGCTTCTTCCAAGGGGCCCGCACCGCAGGATTTTTCCTCGTCCTCATCTCAAATGAGTCCGGATGCTGCGGGAGGAGTCATCGATACAAGGGTTTGGGGTACCGGCCAGTCAACAAGCCTCAGTGGGGCGTTGTGCATGGATGGCACCAGGGTCGCCTGGAGATTACACTGGAGCCAGCGCCTAAGCCTAATCAGCTCTTCTCTGACGCTCAGGCGGAGCTCTTTTGTCACTGCGAAGCCAATCAATCAAGACGACACAAACAAAGTTGCTGACATAGCACACTGGCCGGACATCGCGGAGCAACGGGGTTTGCGGCAGCCCGAATCAAGGCGTATTACCGTAATTTCCTTCAAAGCCGCTGCCAAGCCTGATAGGCGGGCTGAGTCGCGTGAGAATTCGCCCTGTCAAATAACGCTTGTTCCGCGTATTGTATCGCCAAAACTTTACCGGCCACGTTTTAAACTGAGGGGGAGATGAGATTACCTACCTAGTATTTACCAGCCCAGACAGGCCTACAAGTCGACGTGGCAATCTGGGGACTGAGCCTCGATCAATAAAGTCAAATGAGCCGTAGAGCATCTGTTCTCCCCTTGACTTGACTTGTCTTAGTCATATGATATGACCACTCACAGTGTAGGAGCCGGAGGCAGCCCATGCCCCAGTGATCCATGAAGCAACTGCACTCACTCCATGCGCGTAGTACATCATTTCAGCCTTGGCATATGGATAGCTGCTGGGCAACGATTGACTGAGAACGTTAACGGCCGGCACCTTGCCAACGTAAGCGACCAAGTCTTCCGGACAAGTCCACATTGTTTAGGTACCTACCTAGGTAGTTAAACTCCAATAAATTTTCCGATTAGACTGGTAGACTGGCTGTCGCAATTAATTGCTGCAAGCACCCTTTGAGTCGGCGTCGGGGGCTCGCCAAGCTCCATGGACTCCGAGGTTCCGACTCCGACCTTATCACATCACCATCTGGAACGAATGAGATTGGAAGGGTGATCTGCCGACGCGAATGCACACACACAGCCAGCACGAGGCTTTTCGCTTTCTGACCTCAGCGAGACCCGTGATCCCAAGTGCTAGATTGCACTGAGCTGATGATGACAAGACGAGACAAGAACAATCCATGTTCATGACGAGTCTTTGAGTGGCTTGATCAACACAAAGACCCGCTCCTCGATTGCATCTTTGTTTTCTGCCATTGATCAGGGTCTGTGGTCAATCAATGATGGTGGCTGACACTTGAAGAAAACGTCACCATCAGAAACGGTTCCAGACGGTGTCGCTTGGCTTCCTCCACAACCTAGGCATTCTGACTGAACGGACGGGGGGAGACTCTTTGTTCTGATGGCAGCGTCATGACTGTGGCACAGTGACATGCGCCTGGAAGACGGCCTCTGGGCCTACAGTAAATTCGATTATCGGGACAGACTAAACCAATCAGACCAGGAAGGGAATCTAGCTTGGTGAGTCCGCGTGCCCAGCAATCAGCCGCGGTTATAGGTTGTAAGATACCTATGACTATGATGATCGCTGGCTCAATCTAACATGACAGCTATAACTGTTGATTTCTTAGATTGAACAGCTCCTATCCATGTGTTGGCAGTAACATAAGGTACATGCAAGGTTGCAATTATTAGGTGTCAAGAAAGCCTGTCTCCTGCTTGCGGTTGAAACATGGAAGCGACCCGGGGATATCCTCAAGGGGACACTTCCGCTGAGGTCATAATCAATCTGCGCACGCCAGGAAACTTCCTGCAGCTCATACTGGTAGTTGCCTGGGTCTTAATTGTTATGAGCTTTGTCATTTATGCACCGGCTGCTCCGCCGCGGAGCATGGCATTAACTGTTGACAAATCCACTGATACCTTCAAAAAAGCCAATCGACAATCAATCAGCAAATTATTGAGCAAAAATTCAGTTATGCTCCTTTCTGAAAAATATGTTGCACAAGAGCTCCACTGCAAAGTTTCACAGGCCGCAAACCGAGATGGATGATGAACAACGAACCATTGAGAAGCAACATCAGAGACAAGGATCAGCTTTCTCTTTTGACGCTAACAAGGAGCTGGGGCCACTGCATCTTTTCTCGTCGCATTCAATGTGGAAGCGAAAAAGCGATATGCGTCCATTAGGTACTCGCGACCATTGTACCTTTTCCAATTTCGCTGCTTCCTCCATGGACGATGCTTACCATCCGTGGCTGTCCATGGAGGCTTTCGATGCAGCTAAGAAGGGGTATTCTACTCCATGCTTACCTAGGTACTCTCACCTGTCTTTCATTGACAACTTGCATACGCTGCTGCCTTAACCTACCTAAGCTCCAGAGCTCCTTGTCTTGTGATGAAAGTATCGAGTTAACACATATTACGCTGGAAGGAAGACATGTATACTTCTACTTTTTGGATAATCAAGGTTGCAAGCCTCAATGCTAATGGTACCAATTCGAGCTGCGGTAATGGCGTGCTCTAACTCATGTTGGCGTTTATTAGGTACCTAGCCATTGACTACCTATCGCCGACCTCTAGATTGTAAGCACGAGATTTGTTTCTAGACACTTGCCAAAGTCATATAAGCAGCCAATTGATATTAATTGTCAGTCCAAAAAGACCTGAGCGCATTCTGGGCTGGAATAGACGTACTCGCGATTGAGTTTTTCGACAGCTTCCGATTACCAATTTTATTCTCAGCCCTGCTGTTGACGATTCTTGGGGGCTCTCTGTGTAACAGTTCAAGTGTTCCCAACTACAAGCGCTTCGAATTCAAGGGTCAGCTTCAGATACCTAGTACACTTCACAGGCCATAGGCGCGCGCAGCCCATCCCGTAACTCAGGAGACATACACACGACAAGGGATATAGTAACCCCACGAAACACCTACACTTTCCCCTTGTCATTTTTGCTGCATCACGACGCTCACTCGGATGCAGCGGAAGATGGTTTCTCGTTGAGGGTTTACACAAAGGAAACCGTTTGAGCTTTTCTGGCCACTGGGCGAATCAACAGCCAATCAGATCTATTTAGCACGGCAAGCCTCATCGTCATGACGGTGACGTCCTGCTAGAGGGAAAAGAAGGTTATGAACTAAACGCATCCTCGGTCAACAGCTTTGAGGTATTCACTCCGACTCCGACGCGGAGTTTTCGATGTGCGTGCGACACTGAAAACCCAATGGAGGAGGCTCTTAACGGTCGGTCGAGTCTTATTTGTCAATGCGTGAGGCGCGCGCCCCGACGTGAGACGAGGCGCGAGGCCATAATGCGAGGAAATTGAACGTGGATAGCGTGGATCCTCCTAGCCTCCGTTCGGGACGGAAGTAGAATAAGCAGAACGAGTAGTGGAGGCTCAGGGTCTGAGAGAGATTGGGAGGGTCTCACTGAACAGGGATACGAAACTCATCCAGTCCCTTGGATAGAACAGGTCGATTGCTGTCTTGTCGCAGCGCATGATCTTACTGATAAACAACCTGATCAGTATATTGCAATCTCTTCAACACGTTGTCGATTCAGCCGCCCGTGCACGGATCCAACTTGATTGAAACATCCATGCCACAGCTGCAAAAGCCAAGGTCGAGTTGAGGCGGAATGGCCCAAGTTCAGGAGATCGCCTAGGGTCCCCTACCTGCGCACGAGACACTGTCACTTGCGATGCGCTAGTCAATTGGGAATATGATGAGTTAGTCTAGGTAGTTTCAACTTTCAACCCAATCTCAAAGACAGTTCTAGGCACAGAGTACCTTGAATACGTATTATTCTTGATAATATTGCAAACGAATGTGCTCATGAAAAGGCAAAAAACAGATCATGTGGGTTGAGTCTTGGCCTCGGCTGTTACTCGATATGCCGTTAGTGTCTGACACTTCATGATAAGCACATGCTGGGCTTGCTCTGAGCTCATCTACTTTGGTCTTCTTGCTGATGCTTGAATGTCTGGCCAGAAGCGAAGGGATATACAGTAGGTGTCTGATTGGGGGTCGCTGGTCCAGACCGCATTATGTGAACACAGGTATGATGACTGCTGAGCAGGTACTGTTGCATGCCTCTCACCCTGCCTACAGGACATGAAAGACCAACACGGTATGCAAGCACACGCCAACAGCGACTAATGCCCAATCAGAAATGCATCATGGTTGATTCTGACTGGACAAACACTGATGACTGCTACTCTAGCTCCAGATCCATGCCCTCGTGAGCGACAACTCCAAGGTATATCATGGATCAGGTATCATGATGCCAATAAAAGCCTGGTTTGGAAGCCCAATACAGAGGCGGTCAATGCGACGACATCCGAGCGAGCCGCCATAATGGGTAGTATTGGATCGAGCATA